CACACCTGGTGGATGGTGGGAAAGTTCTCGTGACATCACTTGTGACATAGGAGCAGCGCCGTTCTGCGGCAATACGGCGTGCCGGCAGAATTAGCCTTGGCCTGAACACGTTTGCAAAGCCTTGGCGGAGAAAACCAAAGCGTAGTTGGCCACAGTGAGCTCGTTCTCGTTGCGGCTCTTTGCACGACACGACCCGAGCATGCTTCTGGCACGGCCGGTATTAGTTGCTGCGAGTCGCGAGCTGCGAGCCGACGTTAAAAAAGATGTTTGAACTACGAGAATGTCAGCAAGAGCCACGCAAATACTTGTTGACACTTGGAGCGGACACGCGCGTTTGATCGAAGTGCTGGATTCGCTCTGTTAGACCGCGTTTTGGTAAGCGCTTCTGGACCGATCTTTTACGATTGCAACTTGATACTGACATGACACTCGGCAAAGAAAGGTTAGACCGACATCGCGTAGCTACCACGAACTGCTATAGCCCGACAGTGACGTAGCGTCGTGTCGGAATAAAAATGGCATACTAATAACAAAGTGTACTACATACCGTGTTGTGAAGGCAATCCGTATGGCGTTTATTTGAGCTCTATATCACACAAAACAAGGAGGTAGAATCAATGAGAGTCCTTTTTCGACGACAGCGTTCGTCACCGCTGCCTTGGAAAACAAGGAGATTGAGATGACAAGGGGAAAAGATTGACCTCTGAAATTTAGTTCAGGGATCAAACTATTCATCCGGGAAGGGTCCACAAGGGTCGCGCGGGCATATTCCATTCAGCAGGCCAGCCGTTCATGGGCAGACGGTCTTGGCCAAGGACCGCCGGAGCAACGGTGCGCGGAGTCGGTGTTGCTGCTAGGCCTACTATATTCTGCCGAGCTCGCTTGGTCGGTAGAATCGTGGCCATTGTAGTTCTTCTCGGGTGTTTGTGGATCCTGCGTTCTTGATCGTCGTGGTCTGTTTCAAGTACTCCTTCCTTTTTCCTTGCTGGTTGAAGTCGGGACGCACGAGAAGAGCACATAGAAAAATAAATGTCCGTTGGTCGTCGCTACCAAGTAATTAATTGAGCGACGCTGTCGGCCATGTTGATATTTGATCGTAAAAAGTGCGTAAAGGGGTGTCCAAACAGGACACTACAAAACGCACGACTCCGACAAATCGTGAAAATGGAAGCGGACACGCCCGCTTCAATTTTCACGATTTGTCGGAGTCGTTTCTTTTGTAGTGTCCTGTTTGGACACCCCTTAAGACAGCTTCGGAGCTGTCGTAGGATTCTGTCGTAACCTGCGCAAAAGTTACGACAATTTCGTTTCGACAATACGGGTTTTCTCTCAAATTTGTTGTACGCACTTTTTTTTGTCGTAAGTACGCTTTGAGAATCCGGCCTCAGAGCTGGTTTTGTCAGTGGTGCCTTGGTTGCCGACTTGCCGTGGTGCAGCGTGCGTGCAGCCCTTGCACTTCTCAAACGGCCTCGTTGTCACAGGTCGTAAATCGTCGACGCGCCACCAGGTGGCAACGCTCGTAACCACAACATCCACGCCGTAGCCTTTCCCCTCTGGCACAAGTGACGTCATAAATGGGCCCAATATCCCAAGATGCATTGCGCTCTCCGATAACTGATTTTTGAACGCGCGCCCAATCGGGCCCCTCAGGGTGAAAAATATAGCCATCCGTTCAGAATACAAACGCGCGATTATGATTTACGGATATCATTGATCATATTAAACCTATTTCTGACCATAATAGGTGTATTTCAAGTTTCGCTTCAGTATCCCTTTAAAGGGGCATCATAGCAGATTTTGGGATTGCTTTCTTTATGCTGCAAACTCAATCTTTGTTCCCTAGACATTCTAGAAAACCCGAGATCGGTAATCGTCTCGGTCTTTCTCCCATTAACCCTTTCCGTACGGGAGACGAGCTCAGCTTGTCAGGCATTTACTTGCAAAAAATACGGAAGACGAGCTGAACTCGTCCAAAATAGTTTCGCTGGTGATATGATCCTAAAGACGTCTTGAGCTCGTCCGTTGCTCTGCACTTGCTGGAAAAGGCACCAGATGGCGTAAGGAACCCGTAGAAAGAAAGTTCTTTCAACCGGGGCTTTTGTTGTTGCGCTGGCTACCCTATGCTTTAAAAATGGCGGCCCACATAGGACGAGTCGATGATTCCTCACGTGGGGAAAAAAAAAAAAAAAAAAAGAAGAAAAGCTGTGGACTGAAACTTTTTCGTCTTGGAGTGGAAGTGATGTGGACACCTGGACTTGACTCCGGTGAGTCTTTAATAGGCTACCTCACTTCCGATGAAAGTGAAGACGACAGCGCTGAGGACATAAGCTCTTCACGTGTTTGGTCAAAAATTTACGTGAATAATATCCTCGTCCACCGCCTCGATTTCCTTTCACTGGCTCCTCTTATGAACGTCCAACTAGACAAGGGTGCCACAGTTGGGGAGTATTTCCTTCAGTTTTCTTATGAAGCGCTCGTTAATCTCATCGTCGGTGAAACCAACCGCCGCGCGACGCAGTTTTTTCGGTCGCACCAGCGCACGGCTGGTCACAGAAAAGCTTGGAAGCCGACTGATAGAAGAGAGTTGCTGGTGTTTCTTACACTACTCATTTTGCAAGGAGTGATTGACAAGCCTGAAGTGAAATTGTACTGGTTAACGCGACAGATCCTCCGCACACCAATTTTTGGCGACTCGGATGAGCAGAGATGGGTTCTTCCCCCGATGAAGTTGCTGCACTTAACGGACAACGAGTTACCAGACAATCAGCACCCCTATCCAAAACTCCGGAAGCTATTGCCTGTCCCGACAAGACTCGTTGACAACTTTCTGGCAGTCTACACGCCAGAGCGGGACGTGTCCGTCAATGAAAGCCTGCTCCGTTTCAAAGGAAGACTTTCCTGGAAACATTTTATGCCCTTGAAACGTGCTCGTTTTGGCCTAAAGTTTTTCGTTTTGTGTGAAGCCTCCAGTGGATATAGTTGGAATATTATGTTGTACTCTGGAAAAGGATCTGTTGGATGAAGGATATTGTGTTACAGTAGACAATTTCTACAACTCCCCGGAGCCTGTTGACAAGCTCACCGCATGCAATACTGATGTCTACGTCACAGCCAGACCCCGTAGAAAGGAGATGCCAAACTTTGACACAAAACGACTTCGGAAAGGTGAGATAGAGGCGTTTCAAAGAGGCAAGTGTCTATGCCTCCATTAAAAAGACAAGAAGCCTGTGACTTTTCTGAGCACTGTACACTCAGCAGGGAGCCCTGATGTCACCAATCGGAAAGGCGAAGTGGTTTCAAAGCCGATCATCGTCATGGACTACAACAACACCATGAGCGAGGTGGATAAAAGCGACCAAAACCTCTTTTACTATCCGTGTGCGCGAGATGGCCACAAGACCTATTGCAAGAAGTTGTTTCGCCATTTAGTGGACATGGTGATTTATAATGCATTTGCATTATACACGAAGAGCGAGAATCCTATCGGCCATCTCGAGTTCAGTCTGAGCTTAGTGAAGGGACCGATACAGCAAAACTGTGACAATGTGGGCCCACGGAGAAGAGTTAGGGTCTCTGACCACTCCTTGACAAGGCTTGCAGCCTCTTTTTCTCTCCTTTGATGGTGATCGTCAAACCCAGGCTTGCAGCCTCTATGTCTCTTTTTCTGAGACATATATCTGAAAAAAGGTGGAACCGAGAGAATCAAGCTGATTTAGACGGACAAGATTTACTAAGAAGTTATAGATGTGTGGCCGGCCCTTGAGCCTTAAAACAGTCTAGCTAGTCAAAGGACTGAAACACATTCAGGAGTTGTGCGATGAAAGCCACCTATACATTACTGCTGTTAAATAGCCTCGATTTCGTCACTTTAAACCCTGTGAATGAAGGCTAGCCTGGGCCTACGAATATCTTGGCAAACCTGTTTGGCCCACGCGCCACACCTTACGTGCCAGCGCTTCAAGATATTGCAAAGTTCTTTCCACCTGTAATGTGCTGCTGCTTAAAAGGGAGGGTAGTAGTTGCTGGCATTGCTGAGTAGATTGTAAAAGAAGAAACTATAGTCGCCAGAAACGCAGGGCATTTCTTTCAGCTTGGCCTCCAGCGCATGCCCCTTACCGTTTGTCATGTTTTGGCTGCATGTGCACATGCAGCGCTGATAAAACATGGAAATTGTATCGAAAGTAGGAAGCCTGCACTCTCCATACAGGTTTCGTCCTGTAAGCTGGGGGTCGGCAACGTTTTGGGGGGTAAATCGGGGAAGGGGTGGGGGGTTTAGCTAAAGAAAATAACGGGCATGATGCACAGTGAACTGTTATGCCGTGCACTGCACACTGTATTTGGCAAGGCACTTGAATCACAGGTTCTGATTCCGTTATTCTTGCAGAGTCACACAGTTCTTGCCGATTCGAAAGTCGAAAGAACCGGACAAACTGAAACCGTTGGGACCGCCCGATTGCTCGATACTGTGTGGACTACAAGATTTTTTTCCTCAAATCAAACGAGTAGCCTGGATAGATTTCCCGTAGTAGGCCTTTGTGTGTGGCAAAAGCTGCCGAAATTCATGATGATACAAACTATGATTCCAGAGAAAAGTTACGAGATACACAAGTCTTAATTATTGATTCCCAGTGCATCACTCTGGTTGTACACCAATTGACGATGGCTAATATGGTGACCGTGCATAAAAAACCATACCTGAGGCTTGCTGTTTCAGGGTACATACATTGATTTCTCCAGGTTTGCAACCAATCATATTTCTTGTACCATTAGCTCTAGAGGGGGAAAGGGGGGGGGGGGGGGGGGGAATCTTTTGTAAAAGTGTGCCTGGGGTTGCACAATATTGCCTCACAAGTCTCCAGTTGCTGACCCCTGATGTAACAAGTGATTATAGCACTTCTCATATTCTCTCTAGTGGGAAAGGTTTGATTCCACCAGTGCCTATGTGCTGTGCTGCTCCCTGACTATTCTGACTCATGCTTTCGTGTTTCTTTGTTTTGCAGGAACCGATGAAATCCAAGGCTCCTCAGCTTCACTTAGAATACAGGTTTTACAAACTTTTAGGAAATAATGGTAAGTCCTGGGGTCGCACTTGTTCTCTATTATTTGTTTTTCAAATTCTCGTTTGCCAGTGAAGCAGTTTCTCCAGCCGCAAGGAAGCGGTGCCTGTAGGTTACACGGAAAAAGAAAGCTATAAAATCACGAAAAGGTATACATAAAAAAACGTGTGGCAAATATGAAGTAGAAGGGAAATTCGTGTGTTTTGGGGGAAAATCGAGGTCACTGCCCACCATGAATAATGCACGCTCTTTGTAAGTTGTCGGCGGGAAAGTGTGAAATTCACTTCGGGCCTGTGTTTTTAATGGGTTAATATTTTGATAATATAAACTTGGCATTCCATAATTAGTCAGAAAATGAGCTCTGCCCCTTCGGATGTGTCGCAATATATGTCACGATGGCATTTCATCAATGCTTTCAGTGGCGCATAAATTTTTGTTTTTCACATGACTTCCTTCGGCATCGCCTATATAATGGAGGTCTGTTCTGTATACAGTTCAGTTGTACATTTCGAAGTTTCCTCAAATTTGTAGACCTCTTTTGGGTAGGCTTATTGCTTACAAAAAAACTTCCTTTGCTCTTCCGCACACCCGGATTTCTAGCAGAAGTTTAATTTCTCGGACAAGTTTTGCCTGCTGTATTTTGTAAATGACAACAAAATGCTTAAAGGAAAAGTTATTAACGACTTGCCAAGTTTCCCAGGAAGCAGGAAGTGCCAGTTTTAGAAAATAACTGGCACTTCTCTGCGTCGTGCCTCAAAACGTGCAGAGACCAAACTCTGCGAGCAGGCTGTTCGGGCTTCGTATGTCTATACTCTGTTCACCCCTAAGCTATCAGTACGGTGGAAGCTGTGTGCTGATCAATCCAGTCCTATGTCTAACTTTCGCCACCTGGGCCCGTTTTCTCGAAGCCGGTTAACTTTAACTGCGGTTAAAAGTTAACCGCCCTTCCCTACTAGGTAGCTACAAGTTCCTAGCCAAGTTTGTTCGAGGGCTGGATGAGCGATAGCTCCGCGTTTTATTATGGGGTGGTAGCTGATGTCACCTACTGGCTGTAGCAAATATAAGTGGCTTCCGTGGAAAGGTTCCCGAAATGGGGGGACCCAAAAATGCGCACTACCGTGTTTTCGCAATGCAGCGTGGCATACATTTGAGCTCAAGAAGCAATTTGTATTGCTGTTGGTACAGATAATCGGTAAGGTAAAACTAAATTAACCCTTTTTTGGGGAATTTCTAAATATTTGGCTGTCTGAAGTGAAGACGAGCCTTGTTGAAATTTGCTTCCAAGTTCGAAAGAGACAGACGAAGTTCAGTCCTAGAAACGAGAAAGAAGTGAGCAGTGAAAGGCGGGCGGTACACTGGCAGCATGGTTGGCTGGCATGTAAGAACTGTATATAACAGCGTCATAAATTGAAAAACCTTCAATTCGGTTCCAGTGAAAATTCACCTATTAGTAAATTACCCGAGCATCGAGGAGAACACTAAAAGTGTAATTCTACAATCTGCGTGCGCTGGCCTCCCACTTATAAAATATTTGAAGTAAATAATCATAATAAATCTTTGATGAATGCGCGTGCACGGCAAAATTTGTTTAAGCTTTTCGCTTTAGAACAGTTACAACTGCAGACGCCAGCACGTGCAGCGCGTGTAACTACATCGTAGCATGCACCTTGGTGCTTGTGTGTGCTTTTGTGTGCTATCAATACCCGGCCGATTGAGTCAAGGCAATCCACTTTTCAAAGACATTGCCATGACTACAACTATTGCGTTCATTTAGGCTTAGGAATGGCCAGAATCGAAAGACTATCTAAAAGATGTGCCGAGGTCATTGCTCATGCTTTGTGTTTTAAGTAAGGTAAGGCACAGCGAAAGCCTCCTGCACCATTCATTGCTGACCAACGTGCCCGATATTGCAGCTACTACGACGTATTAGTTCCAAAGCGAGCGGCGCTCACTCACTGGGGTACCGCCATGTTTCCCCGCCGTCCTTACTCTGCCGGTCACGTGACCTAAAATTCCCCCTCGTAGGGAAATGTGGTTAACTTCTAACCACGGTTAGAGTTAGCCAGCTTCGAGCAAACGGGCTCTGATCACGCCCCCACCCTGGCCCACACACAGCGAACTGGTTCTGGCGATGAAAAAGATACATTTGACTGGTTCAGCAAGCATGCGGCTCCCATTTCACTGCCAGCTTCATGCTGAACGGAGGAGTTATTGTTTACGATTCCAGCAGAATGGACGGTACCTAGCAGGAAAACACTAAATAGGCCAGAACAGGTCCTTTTGGGATTCCTGCTTGTCCCTTGTGGCTTCTGTGATTGCCACATTGTCCGTGGTCGGCGCGATGGCCACCGCTGTAAGGTGAGGAAAGTTGCGTTGGTCGCATCCACAGGAACAAAAACTGCGGCAACGACAGAGCTGCAGGAAAAAACTGTGATTCAAATAGTCCAACGAATTATGTGCGCCTTGCATTGTTTGTGATGTATAGGACGAATTGTCGTCACAATGACTTTGTCGTTGCTGCTTATTGGCGTGTTGCCGAGGTCACTCCGAACTCAACCCGCACAGCCGCATAATCCACACATTGTGCGTTTATTTACGGTCGGCGGTGCAGTAGAGGGACAGAAGCTAGTCCTTTCGTCGCTTCCTCGAAGCAAGCTAAGCCTCTGGAAGCTCGCTTACGCCAGCACACTGCCGCAGGTTTTGGACGTGGTAGATAAACATTGGAGGAAAACATTTTAAGGCCTATGCTTGCCTCCTTGAACCCAAGCGCTTTGCGTTAAGCTGGCGTGCGGCACGGAACGACCTGTTTCAGCCGTCATATTCAAAGAGAGTAGCGACCCCTATGGATCCTTTTTCTATTTACAAGCTTGAGCAGTCTCTTGCCTCCCGAGAGACTTTCGGTGGCTCCGTTTCGTAAGGCCTTCCGGGCCTGTTGATGTCAAAATTCCTGGAACAATGATGTTCTACATTAATCACAGAAGTTCAGAATTTAGCGCGGTCCTTCTGCTGTGCTTTTCAACAGACAAGATTAGATCGGTCGTCTTATGGGAGTGTTACAAAGTCTCCACCAAATCTCTCGCTTACCAATCCTTTAGCTGACACCTGCAATATATTTTGTCGATGTTGCAAGAATGAGTGCTACGGTGGGAGATTGCCTGTCCTCTCATTTGACTGAAAGTTTGCAAGGACATAAAAATGCAACACCTCCTCCTTTGGGCACTTTAATGATAAGGATCTTTAGGTCTCTGGAGTTGCGAATAGTGCTCCAACGTGTGTCAAGTTGCCTTCCTGGGGCTACTACGTAGCCCGCCTTCCCGCTTGAAACCCCGTTCTTTTCCCTTTGCATTGCAGAAGGCATCCCCAAGGTATACTACTTTGGCCCGTGCGGCAAGTACAACGCCCTGGTGATGGAGCTGATGGGGCCGAGCCTGGAGGACCTGTTCGACCTGTGCGAGCGCAAGTTCTCCCTCAAGACTGTGCTGCTAACGGCCATCCAGCTGCTGCACCGCATCGAGTATGTGCACGCCAAGCACCTCATCTACCGGGACGTCAAGCCCGAGAACTTTCTCATCGGGCGCCAGTCGACCAAGAAGCACAGCGTCATCCACATCATTGACTTCGGCCTGGCCAAGGAGTACATCGACCCGGAGACCAACAAGCACATTCCCTACCGGGAGCACAAGAGCCTCACGGGCACGGCGCGCTACATGAGCATCAACACCCACCTCGGCAAAGGTACAGGTTCGGCTCCTTGTGGGCCATGGGATTTTGCCGTCTGGTGTTCCTCGCCGAAGTGTGGAGCTGCGACCTCCTTTAACTCGGCCCGGAGCACGTAGTAGTAAATGACTGGATTAAGCTTGCACAGCACCTGAAGCAAATCGGGAACAAAAGCAAGCGTTGACACGACTAACTGGCACTTAAACGGTAACTCCGGTTGAAAACGAAACCAAAATAAATGACTGGTATCACATTAGTGGCACGAAATATGATCGCAGCCGAAATGTTACGTCGAAGGGAAGCCGCATATTCCACTGAATTCAATTTTAAAGATGAGACCAGCTGCTCTTTAGCGGACGGAAAACGGTTAGCTTTCAGTCATAGAATATTGGTGCAGCACCCCTGTGTCGTCACGTCGCGGTGAAGCTGCTGTTGATTGGTTGTATTGCATACCGCAGCACCACGATGACGTCGCGCCGTGGCAGTACGTCTGAGGATCAGTGTTGCCATCCCTCTATCAGGTAGTTTTGTCGTAGCCGCCCAAAACCAAACTTTGAGCGGTGATATTTATAAAACTACACACAATACTGAAAATATATTGTACAGTAATCCCTTGTTATAACGAAATTGCTTTCTTGGAAATAATGCTTTTATTGTTCAACGTGGTCCCGACCGAAATGCAGTCGTTTTTAACCGGATTATTCTAAGTGTATCTGCGGCCGACCACGCTTATTACGAAAGCCGTTGAAGGAAGCGATGGGGCCCGGAAAAGACTACCGCATTTACTCGCATAGTGAACGCATCCCCCAACACGGGTACCAATATTTTGACTTTTTTTTTCTCCTCGCGTAATGAACACACTTTTAATTTTCGGCTCTGCGAGTCTCGAATTGCGTCCAATTTAGCAAGCCACCAAGTCAATTTTTTTTTTTTTCTGCCAAGTGGTTACGCCAAGTCAAGTCAAGCCAAGCCAAGCCGCTCTCGTAGTGGCTGCAAGTGGCCGCAAGTGCTTAGTTGGTCAACTAAGCACTTGGCAGAAAGTGGTCAACTATTAGCGAGTTCGTTTCACGGCACTCGTGCCCACGCGTGCCCTCTCGCAGCGTGGACAAGTTCGTTTCAGCGCTGACACCCCACGCGTGCATGCACGCGCTGCACCGAGAAAATCGGGAGTGCGCCGAAATGCAATCCCGTCATGCCTCGCTCCGGCGGGGCCGGCGAGGAGCGGGAGCAGACGACGAGGGTTCGTCTGCTACGATGTGTCGCGGAACCGAACGAAAAAAAAAGTCGATTTTCTGATAGAAATTGCGTCCCGCGGGCAACGGAATCATTACGAGCTTGAATTGTGAGCGTCTGCTATTTCACGGAGGAAGCAATTGACAACCCGTGATTTATTTGCAGGTTTTAAATCGCTCTGTTGCCGTACAAACGCTGCAATATACCAGTGTGTAAGGAAATGCTCAGAACAAACGCAACAGCGGCTCCCGAGATGTCGATCACCATCCGTGCGCGGGTGAAAAATTTAACATTTATCGATAAAACTCCCCCAGCAGAAACCTTTGACTGCCCAATAAGCTTCAGAGAAAACTAAAGATGGTGACTTTACCTGAGGATTGGGCAACATCATCATGTTTAACATTTACCTACGCAGCTAACTTGCCCCGTCGTATTTTGTTCGAGAAAGCTCGACGCCCTCACCAAGGCTAATATCTAATCCACCTATAATGACGATCCAAATCGAAAGTCCCAGTCTTGCTGGATATTCCAACAGGCTAGTTTTAAGCCGTACTTTTTCAGTGGTTCACGCATAATACCATGCTCAAACGGATCAAGCTTTTGCTCGGACAGCATCATCAGTTTTCTTCAATGTAAACGGTTATAATGATTGAAAGATCGCAACCAGCTGCTTTGTAGACAGCTGGTTGCGGAAATTTACGCCGTCTGTAACTATCTCTACGGCAGCCGAGCTGCTTGAAGACATCGCAACTATAAACTACAGGTTGCAGTTGCCAATGTTTGTAAATAAACGTTGGTAGCGACTGCATTCTCGCATTCTCACGCATCTCGGAACAGAAAGGCGCTAGTTTCGGTTTGAAGTCGGTACCTTTTCTACAACATAGATGGCGGCAGCATCTGTCTTCTGCACTCGGTGCATTTGGCGAGTTCGTTTGAGTCCAGGTTTCCGTGCAACACTCTGTGAGTGCGATGCATTCTGGGAGAGAACTCGAACGGTGCCAGTGCGTGTGAAACGAACTCGCTATATGAAACCGAGCGGCGTGCAGAATTGACGAAGCTTAAGTCAAGGAATTGCCCAGCCCCGGACATTCTTCGCCTGTTGGATGCATTGATGTCAACAAACACGTTATTGCCTGTGGTCTGCTTTCGGGCAGTGAGTGAAAGTGGTTAGGCCTAAGAACTGTTGTGTTGCTCTCCGTGCTGAGTAAGCTTCGTGGGGCGCTTTTTCTTTGGCAAAAGGCGTGCCAAAAGCACCCTAAAAAAGGCTTGCAATTTATAGAGCATGATTAATCTGGCGCACCCACAACCAGCCATGGGTGTGCTTCTATCAGTGGAGACGTGCCACAGTACCCTGCCATGTCCCATTGGCACCTAAAACGAAATTTGCGCAAAATTTTTAGATGCAGGTATTTTACCCCATGCCCTCTCCCCCCCCCCCCCCCCCCCAAATATGGGTCAATTTTTTGGACAAACAAAAGTGTGTTCATTATGCGAATAAATACGGTAGCCCTTCGGGAACCCCAGACGTGCGCGCCTGTGGTGCACTACACGCGCATGTGCGTCGTATGGGAGATTGGGAGTGTTTACCAAAAGTCGCTTAGATCTGCGAGGTTGAGAAAAGTGGCCGACCCAAGTCTGAAAACGCCAAAGAGTTTGACATTCCAGCATTGGCTGTTCGACACTCCACCATCTGGCAGAACAAGAAGTTTCTCATGCAAGAGGCAGCGCACCTGCAACTCGAAGATGAAAGATCGTCATTTGTTTTGCGACCATCGGATTTTTTCTCGCGAGCATGTTAGCCGAGCCGGCGCACAATTTCCGTAGCTGCAACAATCTACAGGAGTGTTAAAACATGTTGGCAAAGCCACTGAGGATAACTACGATTCTTTCACACTTGTCGACGCGGACATTTTCGTTGTTGCTCCTGCCACGGATGCTGCAATCGTAGACCTTGCGTGCGGCCAGGGTAAACATGAAGAGACGCCGGAGAGGCCCCTCGGAAAACGCTGACAACTGCGGAGACTCGAAACATCTTGCGGCTACTTCGAAACAAAGTGGAGTGTAGCGGCGGTGATAGTGTTCCTGCGATGCCTGGAGCAGCTCGAGGAAAACTGATGCCTAGATGAAAATATCGGCTAACTCCACTTAATTATTTTTTTACTCCATAAAGCTGCCGCAAGATGTTAATGCAAAAGGTTTGTTTGATTAAATATATGGCCAGAGTGTTCCGCAGTGTTCCCGTCCACCTTCAAGGCTGCTGGCACCGTTTTTTGTTTGGCTCTACCGCTTTTATAGCATTGCCGCTTATGTCAAATTTTTTCGCTGTCCTGTTAACTTCGTTATAACGAGGGATTACTGTACTTTGTAATTTAGGAACTCTGCTTTAGCTAAAAACAGTCATCCGAAATTCAAATATATTGACTAGACTTTCCCTTTACGGCCGTGTTTTAAATGCTTGGGCAACTTTTCGTATTGCCCCGCAGGAAAAAAATTAATTGGCTAACTGAGGAAGAACCAAGTACCTTGACGGAACTTTATTTGTTGAGGTTAGAATGCCCGGCAGGAACTGCCGGCAGGGGCAGGGGCCTTAAAGGTTCCAAAAGAAAGCCAGAGCATAACACCTTTGAACCCCTGAGCCTGTTGAGCTACGCTCGAGTAAACTGGAGAAATTAGCGCCAATAGATTGCAGATTGAGCCTTCTTTTTTTTTTATGGATTTTGATTTGAATTCCACAGTTCTAAGTTTCAAGTATCAAGACATGTATGTCGTCCTCATAACACAGAAACACGGCGGGAACGCAGAAGGTTGCCGTCTTTCCAAGGCGGTGGCACCAAGGAGATTAATTTTTGCAGCCGTTTGAGTATAACGCGAGGGTGAACATTGGAGCGCAAACTTGCAGCACAAAGCAGTGTCTCACTACGGTGCCTGGATAGTGTCTATGACGGTTGAGTTTGCTGCCCTGTCCCACTCGTGCATTAGAGTGTTACCGAAGCAGCTTTCAAACCATGTTGCGGGAGTTGGCATCGTTTGTTGTCGTGTTGTCAGATGTCGCGAGCCTGGCAGTTGGTCGTAGAGCTTCCGTCAAAACGTTTGAGCCAGTACGAGTGTCGCTGTCGTCGCGACTCCCGAACTATGGTGTTTGGAACGCGCCTCCAACTGGTGTGTTTACCGTCCTATCTTGCCCGTACTTCAAAAATGGTCCCGAAATTGCAACAGAAGACATCACAGAAACCGGAGTGTCGTGCTGTCGAATGTCGCAATCCTGGCGGTTGGTCATAGAAATGCTGGCGGAAAGCACGAGCGAACGCGAGTGTCGTAGTCGTCATGGCGTCCCAACTTCTGACTGCTGAAGCTTCCGTGGACTGTCACGCCAAAGAGCGACCTGCAGCAGGACAGGCGTCTGCTGCACCCACCACCCCTGCTGGAGCACCGCCAAAGTCATGACAGCGTGACACTTCTATGACGTCACCAGGCGGAAATCGAGGGACCATTTTTTTGGACGCGGTAAACACACCAGTCGGAGACGCATTCCAGGCACCATACCCAGACTCCTGGCTGCCAAAGCTTCCCAGGGACCTTAGGCTGGAGAGCGACCTGCAGTAGAAGAGGCATCTGCCACATCCGCCACCGCCGATGCGACACCGTCATGATCGTGGCCAGCGGCAACATGCGACTTCTGTGACGTCATCGGACGGAAATCGAGGGATCACATTTGAGGACAGAAATTGAGGGACCATGTTCAAAGACGGAAAATCGAGGTGACACGTTTGAGGACGGAAATCGGGGGACCGCATTTGAGTACGGAAATCGGGGGCCACATTTGAGAACGGAAATCGAGGGACCAGATCTGAGGACGGAAGTCGGGGGCCACGTTGGAGGATGGGAATCGGGGAACCACTTTTGAGGAGGGCAATCGAGGGGCCACACATGAGGATGGAAATCGAGGGTCCACATTTGAGGACAGAAATCGGGGAACCACATTTGAGGATTTGGTAAGCGCACCAGTCACTAACATGTTCCAGGCAACTGATAAACTTTTGTCGACGTGCCACGCGTTGCTTCTTGGCTTAGCTATGGTTGATTGCCATTGCAGAGCAAAGCCGGCGGGACGACCTGGAAGCCTTGGGCCACATGTTCATGTACTTCCTGAGGGGTAGCCTCCCCTGGCAGGGCCTGAAGGCCGACACCCTCAAGGAGCGCTACCAGAAGATAGGAGACACCAAGCGGGCCACGCCCATCGAAGTGCTCTGTGACGGATACCCAGGTGAGGATGAGGGCAACACTGTCTCTAGGACTCGTTATTCATTACAAGTTTGTTGGGGGCATTGCCAACCAAGGTGACGCTAAAACCGCCGGGCAATAATACGCGGTAATCTAGAAAACGTTGTAAAGAAATTTGAATGCTCAATTCTATCATTAAAGTCCGGAGACCAAAAATGTGCAGCTTGTTTTGAATCCCCTCTGTCATGAAGGCAACAAAGTGTTGGCGGCAACGCGAGTGCACTTGTGTGCCAACTATTATCGCGCTAACCTAAGCCGGCCCACTAGTGCGGCGGAGAGGGTGTCAAATTACCGAGCAAAAGGTCGGTAGTTGGATCCCCGCAGAGGGACACAATCTCTTGCAGAGACTACAGGCCATGTCGCTGTATTTTCCCTGCAACATTTCGCGATGCTCTTGGCTCAAAACTCGGCCCTTAAAATACGTTTTGTTTTAATGGGGTTATATATTATTAGTTTTCGTACCCTCAAAAGAGAGTCGGTCGGCTTGTCACGACAGCACCTAAAGACTTTTTTTTTTCCCTTTCCTTCAAAGTTGATAGGTTGCTGGCTTTTGGCACCTAACATCTTGTTGCGCGTGTGCAGAAATGGCGACGTACCTGAGGTACGTGAGGCGGCTGGACTTCTTTGAGACGCCCGACTACGACTACCTGAGGAAGATGTTCCACGACCTGTTTGAGCGCAAGGGCTACGTAGACGACGGGGAGTTCGACTGGACGGGGAAGCAGATGGTGAGGCCATTCCTTCCTCTCTCCGGACCGGTCTGGGCCGCCGCGTTTTTATCTCCGCAACCGTTGACCTTTCTCTGCCCGGGTGTCCCGTCGTGCCGGCCCTCCTCTTTGTACCCGCACGTCCCTCAAAGCCAGCGGTCTCCTTTTGTACGTGGATTTCCATGTCTGCTACGGTCTTCTTCGAGAGCTTCTGGCAGTCTGTCTATTATTTCGCTGGGCTCGGTTCACTGGCAGCGCGGTCTCATCCAGAGCGGCAGGCTGTGAGCTGCAATGTGTACGAGTGGGGAAATTGCCGGTGGCTGGCTGGCTCCTGTTGCGTTTGTTGCATAGGAGAGGAAGGCTTTCGCCCTTTGGCGTCTCCACTCGTTTTGCCGCTGCCCGCCAGAAGCGTGGTGTCTGCTAGTGGATGCATTCAAACAAGAACCGTGAAGTACCATAAACTGAATGTACAAGGTGTGATCAAAAAGTTTTGAGACTGATTTTGTGATGTAAAAGGAAGAGGTGGTACGGTGTTACGCACGCAGCAGTCTTTATTAGTGTTGTGCAAATGTTAAAATTTTCTGATAATAGTTTCAAATGTTATACGTTATTCTACATTTGCCCGGAGATGAACGGCAATGTTCATACTTTTTGAAGTGTTAGTCACTGCGGGTTAGCCGTGTTGAGTGCAGTTCTCACCGAGCACCTGTGCACTGTGGAGAAGCAATACCCACAAAGCTTGCAAGCTCTGCAGGTATTGCTTCTCCACGGTGCGCATGTGCTCGATGAGAAACACACCCAACGGGGCCTTACTCGCTGTAATTATGTGAGAGTATGCATTAGGCAGCGGTGTCTAAACAACCCGTGTTCATTGTTAGTGCTTGTTTTTTTGTTTTTGTTTTCATATTGAAAAATTAAAAAAAGGAGATGCGTATAGCGAGCAGATTATAAATCCTCCCAATTAGGACAGCCGTGACAAAATCTGTCGTTTACATGTCGCAGTTCATAAATATAGTTTTATTAAAATTAATTAAGCTGAGAAGTGGACAGTGGAAGGCTAAGAACGACTTTCACGAGTTCAGATGAACTTTTTTAAAGCATGGTGTAGGGTAGTGAAAGGTTTGGAAAAACTATTCTAAATTCAATTTGGGAATGTTTGGTCAAAACCACCACTCGCTTTGAATTCACTTTGAACTCGAGATCAATTTTTCGCACATCCCGAGTCATTATGCCAGAGGCCCTCGTTTTGTGTACATTGGGAGCTATGCTACACATGTTTTTGAGACCAAATGCTGTAGCACAATGGAGACTTCAGCATGGACTGCAAACCAGAGCGAGGGCAAACATCAATTTTGCGTCAAACTCTGCAATTCTGGAGCAAACCTTCGAAATTATTCAGCAGGCTTATGGCAAAAATGCAGTGACTCGTGCGAGGTAGTTTCTGAGCGGCACTTGTGCTTCGAGAATGGCAGAGCATTCCTGGAAGACGGAGAGATGTAAGAAAAGGTCGCCCTACCCCTCTCCATCTTCCAGCGATGCTCTGCCATTCTTGAAGCACAAGTGCCACTAAAACACCTTGCAAAAGTCACTGCTTTTTCGCCATAAGCCCGCTGAATCATTTAAAACGTCACTACTCCAGATTTGCCGAGTTCAATGCAAATTCTATGTTTGTCCTCGTCCGTGCACATGGTCAGGCAAACTCGTGTTTCGTAGCTCCCAGTGTTCACATTGTGACGCCCTTTTGCATAATGAAACGTGAAGGTCTCTGCCTTCCACTGCTGTGCACGCATCACCGTGCTGCGCTCTCTTCTTACGTACGAAATCAGTTTCAAAACTTTTTGATTGCACCTCGTAGAAGTATTTACGTGTTGCAGATTAAGTTGAAATTCTACTGTAAGTAAACTGAAGCACTCTGCTGTTGCATCTACTCATCCTTACCAGCAGGCAAAGACACTCGACTCCCTGTTTAACCTAACTTTGCTCAATACAGGAAGGGTTTGGTAGTAATCTTTTAACAGCAAACCATTTGTGTAGCTGATCTTTGTAACCACTTTTGTTATGGCACCAACAGTATGGGTCATTTAATACTCTATGCTCCGGTTTTGCCTCTGGGAGTTGGCTACATGTAGGAAACCGTGTTTTCAGATAAATCAAAAGAACTCCCGCCGGGGAAATTTTTGTCAACTCGGATTTATCCGATAAGCTCTGAATTTCTATGTCCCAGTGCAAAAATAAAAGACTATTCTACCATCAAGTTTTGTCGGCGCAGAGGGCCAGTGGTCCTGAGAAAATAACACCCCAGTTTTTCCTTGAAAATCTCGGTTCGTGGACATCATCGACCCTTTATATCTCGTGAAGGTTCATTTCGGACAACAGGTTGTTGTGTTACTTCCGGGTCACGACAAAAGCTACGGTTCGAATATCCAGTTTGGACCATACTTTTCGTGCTTCTTAGAGGTAGGAGGTGTTGTGTTTTTTTAGTGAACACTATGAACCAAAGAGATTTCATAGAAGGAGGTTTGCAAGTTTTTGTCCTGGGACATTAGTATTGCCAAAGGCAAGGGTGTCTATGCCAACCATGCCAGAAGAAATATTATTTGATACAATTGTGTATTCTTTCGAATCTAGCACACGTTTCCACCCAAATATTATTTATTTTTATTTTTTTAGAAATAGGAAACACTGCAAAATTAAACTCCGCATTTTAGAGATTTGGGAATTGACCAGAAATACGCTCCGAATTTTGGGCAAGACTCTGAAAACACGGAATCCTAGCTACATGCTGGCTGTTTCAGGTCAGGTAAGGCTGCAAATAAGAAGGAAAAAAAACAAGAAAAAAAAAACAAGTAGTGATTTTGAGAGCAGAAGTATAGCCAAGTTGCTGCCAGAGTTATCGACGCTTTTAGCCCTTCCTTGGTTCGACTTACATGACCCATTTAGGGGGGGGGGGGGGGGCGGGGGGGGGGCGGGGGGGCGACTCTCGCAAAGTAAATGGAGTGGTTTGTTTGGGCACGGGGCTATCTTTCTACATTTTTCTGCGCTAGTCTGCCACTGTGGCTTGCTTCCTTCCTCCGTTTTGAGTCATGTGTGCCAGGAGATGCTGTCTCTTCTTGCTGAGCCCTTTTCTTTCGAGCCAAACCTATGGAACCCACGAGTGAGACTGGGGCACTAACTCTTTGGCAGGTTCGCTTTCTAGTCCCAACAAACTCGTTGGGTCGCTTCCTGAAGGCGGTTCACGTCATGACCGAGGTGGGAATCACGTCTTTGAGTAGTGATAGTGCAGAACTGGAAGGCTGCTTTTTTTCTATTTGGCTCCCTTTTGATGCCTTTTGAACTACGCATTTGAAAAGCTGAAAGCTTGCACGCCCCATTCGAGCACAAGTGCGAGCGAAGCTTAATCTTTGAGCACAAGCTCATCCATCGCCCTGAGCGACACTGTAACCTCACTAGCGCGCGTGAGTAGCAGGCGTGTTCAGGGAATTTGGCTTGCATTTGCGGCGGAACAGCGTCGAGGATTCCTTTTGTTAGAGGGGTTGTGAATTGTTTGTGCAATTCATTTCGTTGAATGTAAATTCTAGGCCCTAGCAATTTTTGAATATCTGCTTATTCCTCCAGCTTCTTACTAACTTTTTTTTTTTGTGCGCGGTTTTAACGTCACTGCCTCAGTTCGTAAAAAATGTCACATCAAGTCACGTGGTCAGCAGCAGTTGAAAGAAAGGAACTGTAAAAGTTTGCTATGTGATTAGGGTAACACAAATGGGTTCTTTTGAGCCAGTGGGGGAAGGGAAACCAGTGATTGGTTCGATTCCTGTCTACTATTTGTTTTCTTTTTTTCGCACCCATGTTTATAGATGTTCTTTTGTTTCTATTATGGATACAATAAACAAATTAACTCAAAGAATTGCCAACCTGCTAAAACCCCCTTGGTGGTGTGGAACATAACCAACAGAAAGTGGCATGAGTGGCTACGGCCATTTGAACTCTAGAAGCGCTGGTTTTGAGAAGTAAACTGCAAGATTTAAGAACATGCTATAACTCGGCAAAGTTTTGCGAATGAATTTAGGAAAATTAGAAGGCAACTGCCTCCAAAGTTTGAGCCAAGACATGTTGGCCATTGCTGAAGCTGCTCTGCGCAAGCAGAAAATCCATAGGTTTTTTCTTTTTCACAACCCCTTTAACAGTTGATTTTACAGTTAAAATAGCTTGTCTTGAACTGCTTTTAGCTGCTCCTACTGTGCTTTGGAAGTTTTGCATTGTAATTGCCCGTTGCTTTGTTGTTTCTGGGGGTTTGGGCTAGTCGGGACCTGATTTGGTTTACATCATCTCATCCCAAACCTTTTAAAATGGGCCGAAGAGGTATGTGGAGCTGTCCAGTCACCCTGGATGATGCCATCAAGTGCTATAGTTTTGGGTGAAGAATAGAAATCATTTTAAACATTTGGCTGGAGCCACAGGATGTGGACCCCTTGAGGGGATATGCTTGGATTGGCGGTGGCTGTTCTATTGGCGGTCTCTCACTTCAAACATCTGTGGAACCATAGATTCAGTTCGAAACTAAGTGCCATGTTTGTTTTTGCAATATGCCAGAACCTATTGGTATGCCCTCTCAGGGCAGTAGGCGTTACGCGGGAAAGGGACGCGATTTAACTACCGCAAGCGGCAAAAGACACTCAGTACCGCAAGGTGTCGTCTTGAAGGCAAGGGATGCATCTACACCGTGCTTCGACATAGCGCTGTCTCCCTCGTACGTGACGTTCGGTTCCTGCAAGGACGGTGGCGTGGCCTGACTGTCGTCCCCACGGCGTCTTTCTCTCTCTTTCTTGTCTCTCCCTCCTCCTCTCCCACCTGCGCCGAGGGGAGGGGTACCAGCCTCCCAACTTTTTCCAGATGAGGCAGCTGAAACTAGCGCGTCCCTCCGACGAAGATCAGTCCAGTCAGGTTTGTACCGGGCTAGCTAGTCTTAGTTGCATCCGCCCAGAAGCGTAGGGGAGTTTGGTTGGGGGTTAGATCTAGGCCTCTGACGTCCCTAGTGTTTTCTGCCCAGATCTCTAGTGGCTGGCCCTAGTAGATTTCCCCGAGGTGGACGCAGCCAGTGGCAAGGAAGCCGTTTGACGCTTTAATGGTTACTTCGCCCGATTGCGTCGGCCGTTTAAACGACCGTCGAAAGTTCTACTAGTCGTCTAGATGGCCGACGGATACTGCCGCAGCACCTCGTCCGTCTGCTAAAAGCCTACGTCGAAGGAGAAGCTCACTTTCCAGGTGGCTAGAAGCTATTTGTGTGGCTGGGTAGCTTGTGTGCTTGAGAATCCTACGAGAGGCGGGTGTTTGGGGTGCGACGTCTGGCTCGACGCTTTTCTCTATCGCCTTCAGATCTAGCACCCTTGCTTGAGCTTTCTTTTAGACATTTTTTGACACGAGGGGGTGCTTCTGCCGGTTGGGTGTCGTCTAGTACACTCGGTGCCACAGCATGACCTCACGCACATTTTCGAGGCTCTGATGCGTTGTGCTTTGACTGGTGCGCCCTTTAACTCTCTTTTTCACTGAGAGCTTTTTTTTTGCTTCTAAACGAGCCCACCGACTTTCGTCATCGGCATCTCGTAAGAAACGAGCTTGTTCACGGGTAGTCTGTGCACATTTCTCTCGTAATGCCATAAGGTGCATTCTCTCATAATTTCTGGCCTGTCTGCTCGTCGTACAAGTCATTGCCGACCGTAGCCGAGTTAAAAGTTTGTTGCACTGTGACGTGAGGGCTGCCCCAGCCATGTAAGACTGGTGCAGTGAGTGCAGCCGTAGGAATTTGTTACGACCGGGGTAGATGGGTGATATGTTAGTGGATATCAAAGTGTTTGTAAGTTGGACTGGGCAGGGACCCTCCCTGACCCAATGAAGAAATACCTAGTGCACATGCAATCGCATACTCGTAATGACTCTCGAAATTAGCGGGTGCCCCGTAGCTTTAAGTGCAGTCCAGATCAATCGTACTTGGTAGGGCATCTGAAAGGATGTCGGTTGTGACTTGCCAAAAGGATTTAACCACCATTATTAGAACTATTGGTTCGAGAGTACACGGATTTAGTACCCTTCCCCTCTTTGGCCGAGCAGAGAAGGAAGATGGCTCTTTTGTGTCGACCTCGGGGACAAAAATAAACCACAACGGGGACAAAAGCGAAGTTTGGGGGGAGCGGTATTTAGGTCACTACATCTCAGTGGTCCAAAAGGATATAGCTATTATCTCGGGTGTCGAACGGGTAGAAGAGGCCTCGCGAGCGCGCCGTTTTGTTCCCACTCAATCTCGAAAGTAGCCACGCGTCCAGGCAACAGCGCCTGTTTGGAAAAGGGTGGATCAGCCAAGCTGTCGGCACGAGGAAAGAAAACGGAGCTCTATTACCATGCAAGGCTTGACGTCACTGCATCTGTAACCTCATGCCGACCACTTCTCGAGGCGGTCGCTACGTCCTCGGCGGCGTTGCGTAGGCTCCGTCCAAACCGGCCTCCATTCGCGAGCACGCGGCAGCCAAGCCGAGACTGGCGTCGGCGTGCGTGCGTCCTCGTCTAAGACGGGGTCCTCTTCGGCGTTGCTGTTTCAGTCCACCCCGGTGGGGTCGCTGCAGACCGGTCAGGAGGTCATCGTTTCCCCAAACAGGGAGAGGCACATAACGACCAATGCTCGGGTGAGAGAAGGGACCAGCCCCGCCCCTTTCCCTCCTTCCCTTTCTCTCTTCCCTCGGCTATGGCGCCTGGAAAGCGTCGCCGACCGACGTGCTTGCTGCATCCGAAAAAAAGTGGCCCCTCAGCTTTTGCCCGACGACGTCGTAAAACTGTCGCCGGCGCCGGCGGCCAGAACTATGAATGGGGAGAGCTTGGCCATTCGGAAGTATAGGAGGCGGACGAGGAGGCGCCATTGGCCGTAAGCGGGCTGGGCGGTTTCCGGGGCACGTTCGCAAATTTGAATGGCCGACCGGAAGCTGCGAATAATTCCTCGGTAGTGGTCACGAGAAACAAAATTAATGAGTGCGTCTGAGCAACTCCCGGCGTATGGATCACGGCACGTAATCTGTACGCCAGGCGCCGAGGGCCAAGAACACGAGCAACACTAGCGTTCACTCGTGCTTTTTGCCACAGCTCCTACGTCTGACCGCAGGGATTGCGACGTCTGACAGCATGATACTCTGGATTTTGCGGCGTCGTTCGTGGCCACTTTGGGACCATTTTTGGATGCGTGGGCGAAACAGGACTCCAAACGCACCAGTCGGAGACGCGTCCCAGGCGGCATACCCTCGCCGTCTTTCTTTGTTCTTTCTGCTCGTGCCTGCCTCTTTGATTCACTCTCCCGGTGTGACCCTTTCGAGAAATCTGTTGCTGCCTGCTGAGTGGGAACGACTCCTTTTAACTGCCCCTGTTTCGTTCTCTCATCAGTGTTCGTTTCTGTCGTTTTGCGCATGGACGGATTTGCGTTTCGGTAATGCCTTTCTTTTTTCTTTTTTGTTGCACGGGTGCGGCGCTTTGCTCGGCTGTTGACTGCATCCGGATGCCCTCCCTTTGGCTCTTCTGCTACTCTCGTGTCCTGCTTGAGTTTTCTGTTTTTTGGATTTTGATTTTTATTCCTTAAGCCTGGGCAGCAATGAGAAGCCAAGCGGGGTTGGTTTTGGGTGTAGGTGGATGGTTTGCCTTAGCTGTAATTCCGATGCTCTCGCGGCAGGGGTGGCGGTGGTGGTTTCGCGGCGGGTGCGGTGCTAACAGTGACTAAAGGTGTCGTGTTGTGGATTCGTTCGTCTGGATGAAAGGTTGGAATGATGCATGTGTTAAGGAGGTACTGCTTTAAAACGGCATCTCTAGTGCCATTCTTGTTCTGGCTCATTTGTTGTAATGAACCTCCACGTAAGTAGTGCACTGCACAACACTCTTGGCACAAACACGGCATTGCCATCCTTTTGACGCGTTTCTATGTTACGGGGTATTTTGGTATTTTTTAACATTATTTTACCTCCTGGATTTGTACTTGAAATGTAATAATTCCAGTGCACCTGTCATCTCAGTGAATGCATCTCAGTTGTGAGAAACAAGTGGGAATAGCTGGCGATTACTTGTTTGTGCCAATGCTAGTCTGTATCACTCTTTACATGTTCGCTGTGTGGTAACATAAAAGAGATACAAACTACTTGTAGTACTGTGAATAATGAATACTTCATATTGCCCAGGAACACAAAAGCATGAGGGTGCTTGTAGGCAAGACCCGATGGTCAGTGGAACTATAATGTAGTTGCACTTTCAGACAGCAAAGTGCTTGTATTCTAAAAATAAAATAAAAATTAATAAGGATATACCGCTTGTAGGCGTTTTGCTAGGTTATTGTATGTGTGTGGGCATTCATTGAAAAGCAGACTCAGATACTTTGCTGGTGGCCGATTCTGGTCTTGTGGTGCACATTTGAAGTTCCCACGGGCATTGCTTGTGCAACTGGGGTGCACAACTGAAAGATTCACTACATTCTAAATTCATTATAACAGACCTTGACAGTGACCAAGACTTCAGTCTGTTGTAAACGAAGTATGCTGTATGCAGATATGAAGTGTAACCAGCAGTACAGATAGGAAAACTAACCGAACTTCAAGAAGCAGTATGTTATATTTAAATGTCTGTTGTAACGACTTTATACTGTACTGCATGTTTCTAGTTCTACGGCAAAGTTATCTGTTTTGGTTGTTTTCATCCCCAAGTCCTGGGATTTTTAGGTGGGTGATGTGTTATGTGCCGGTTTGATGTTTCTTCGTTGCACTTGTGCTGTAAAAACTGCAGATAGACCAGAGGCAGCTTCTTTTCATTTGGCACAGTTAAAGGTATGAAAGGATGATCTTGAGGGGGGAAGGGAGGGGGGCCGCCTTGCTCATGTGTGGGGTTGGAAGTTAATTTCCTTTTGTTTCTTTCGGGTTTTATTTTACGGAAGGGGCTCTGTGGCGAGGCCCTTCTCGGGAGCAGCTTGATTAAGAACAGTCCAGTAAGAACAATCTAGTTAACAACTCTCCAGTGTGAGAGTGAACGAGATAAAAACTGTTCGGTTATGAACTGTCTGGTTGGGATCGGTCCATTTTAGAACAATCCTGTTCAGAACTGTTCGATTAACCCTTTGATGGTCGTCGCCTCAAATGCACTGCGGCGATTGCAGATTTGAGAGTGCCCACCTAAAGGCGAAAATGTGCACACACATTGTGGGAGTTGTTGTTATCTGTTATGTCTTTGGCGATTTTGGAATTTATATTTACATGGTGCTTTCACTTTCCTGCGGCTATACATACCAGTTTTTGAAATTAGACGCTTTGCGCACGTGACATGAGTGAGGGAGACGGCCGCTTTGCATGTCGGCTGCTCTGGCTGCAGACTTTCAAACTTTCGACACTTCTTAGAATTTAATTCGGAGGATTAGGGCTTACCATCGGACGGAGAAGCTTTGTAAATTGCCTCCGGTTTGGAATCCGAAGTCACCGGAATGTTGCGGAAGCGGATGTGCCAAAATCAAATCAAACGGGAGACAGGTGACAACTTTTTGCCTTCAATATTTTTGTTTGATGCTTCTAAACCCAAACAGCTTGCGGGTATTTTGCAAGCTCCCGCTAGATAATAACGAAGAAAAAGCATGTGCATTGACATTCTCTTCGCGCTATTCTTTCTGGAAACAAAACCCTACCACTGAGCAATACATTTTGGGAAAAAAAACTTGACCGTTAATTTTTACCATTCTTACCCGGGCCATTGATAATTGGAGAGCGGTCCAATTATAAATGTCCCGGGTAAGAATGGTCCGGTTAGCAAACGTCCAGCCAAGAACGGTCGGTGAAAGGGCGTGCTCACTGAGGTGCCCCCCTGTTGCAGTCCAACCCCCAGAAAAACGCCTGGCTGGACCAGGGCGGGGGCAACCCTCGCCAGGCGGGCAACACGCTGCTTGCCGAGAAGCTGGGCCAGCCGGGGCCCCCCCAGGGCTCGGTGCAGGTGGTGAGCTCCACCAACGGGGACCTGGCCAACGACGACCCCACCACGGGCCACTCCAACACCCCCATCGCGCTGCCTGTGGAGGTCGAGGTGGTCTCGGACACCAAGTGAGTACCCACACCCCGAGACCCTTCGTGTGCTCGCGTTTGTCTTACGAGCATCGTCAAATGCGCCGGTACACTAGGCTCGTGCGGCCCTTGGAAGTGAATGGCTGCAGAGCGCTCAGTCGTGGCACGTGTCTTGGACTGCCCAGAAACGTCGCAGCTTGCGACGTTTCTAGGCAGTCTAAGAGGTGTCCAGTGCCTTCACCTTGGCCTTCAGGATCTTCTGTTTGGTTGCCTTCCTGGTGTGCACCTTGTGGTGGCTTCTGGGGCACATGCCCATCCTGAGGACCCTCTCAAAGCCCTTAGGCCCCAAGCTGTATTTGAGAACAGCCATAACCACAGCAGTCTCCACTGCCCTCAGCGATGCGAATTCCGTCTTCGGGCACCTCTTCCAGATGAGCACGTTGAATGACTCATTCACGTTCTGAGTCTTCATTCTGCAGCACCTTTGAAGCAGGCTCTGATCGGATAGCCGGCTGTAGATGGGTACCAGCTCCTTTGCAGTGTCCCCCGTGAAGGCTGAGCGATGTGGACGTGGCACAGACGGTTTTCCAGCAGCAACCAGTGCGTTGTGGCAATTGTAGTGGCACCATGAGTCTTCTCTGCTAGATCAAGCTGCATGCCGTGGTGCTTCATCGGTAGATTATGAGTACGAGTGCTAGAGCGTACACACCTTTCTACATTTTGGTGTCGCCAGGAGCATTGTCTTTCAGAGCAGTCGCAAAAAAGTTTAGCTTTCGCATCATGAGGTTGATCAACTTCCTCTTCCTTCCAAAGTCTTTATTGCTGTTCAACTTTTCCATGCCACTGTACATCCTTTAAGCCACATGGTCGACACAGTCGTCCTTCTGGATGTCCTCGTTATAGAGGCCAAGACCAGCAACGTGCGTAAACGCCTTGCTGTCAGCATCACTTAGCATGGTGACATACTGCAGCTTGTGTAGCTCCAAAGATCTGCTGAAGATTATTCCTGCAGCCACAACCTCGATAGCATTTGACGATCCTCCAAAGTTCTTCTGACAAACATCTTTATGAGACTCCACCCAGGCCTGGTAGCCTTCTGCATCCCTCTTTGGGCCCAGGTTGCATCCGTGACAGTACTTGCTGTGAACGGAGAAGTCAAGCACCAAACCGGTTATCACTTCAATGACTGCGCCAACCCCAAAGTTCCAGGTGTGTCCACGCTTCTTTCAGGTACCGTCGTAACTGACGCAGACGTTGAGCAAGTCATCTGCGTTGTTGACACGGCCTTCTCTATCCTCGGACACCTGAGCTCCTCTCACTGCGGTCGCTGCCTCCTGCTTCACGTCACGCGCTGCTGCCATGGACGCTTCTTGCACCTTCTCTGCAGTCTTCTGATAGGTCTTTAGATGCATCGACGATAGTGCATTCATGCCCCCTAAAAGGGTCTTCAGCTTTGTGAAGCTGATGCCGTGGTCCCTTGCGACGACTCAAAGTCGCGTGGGAAGCTCACTGCACCAGATCACACCGACAGACGTCGACTGTGGCGTCGTCGCAATGTCCCCGCAAGCTCCGCACACGACAGCAAACTGAAGATAGGCTTCAACGCCACTTTCCTTCAAGTCCAGTTCATTTCCACAGCAGTTGGTACACAGCAAGGCACTCACCAATGTCTTCACGGCAGGGACGTCCACGAAACGATATCCGTCGAGCGCCGCATTGCAAACGTCGTCAGTTGGTTTTGGCAAGCCGGCAGATCGGTCCAAAAGCATGATCTTCCTCTCGGAGGTTATCAACTTCATCTGCTTCCTTCAATGCTGAACCACTTTCGGGATGCGGCGTAGAAGAAAAGGCTTCCGGAAACGGTGGCGGGCGCGACGGTTCGGGCGACGTCGCCGACGGGTCCTTTAGAACATCGGCCACCCGCTATGCCTCTCGAATTCATGAATTGAGAACGCTTACCGAAGCTCCCGTGCACTTAGGCTTTACTTGGCAACATGTTTGGAACGGAAAAAGATAAGTAAGATTGGAGTGAAACAAGCTAGATGTAGCAGATCTGACGATAAGATGTGGTCTGAAGTGTGACCGTCACGAATGATCACTTGATGGCTGAAAACCAGTCGTGGCTCTAATTTCGGTTTTCTGGCCAATAAGAAGACGAGTTCCGTCAAATTCCCTATGATTTTTTCCATGGAAGAAGTTTTTGTGACGGGATCCTCTCTGTGCACACATAACCTCAACCCGTGTTTACTATTTTACTAAAAAGTCGGAGAAACAACCTTTCCAACGAGAGTATGAACGCCACGCTAAGCCTTGCGGACACAACACTGTACCGTACGAAAAATCGGAAAAATGGTGCTTTCCTCGTCTTTCGCAAGCGCGCCGCACCTCAGAGCACTGCAGAGGTATTGAATTGTTTATTTTCTCCATAATTAACGCGCAGAAGTTTGCCGAATTTTGCCATATTGCTCATTAATACAGTCTAAGCTCATTATAACAGACCTGGATACAACAGACATTAGGATATAACGTACCGATTTGTGAAGTCCGGTTGGTTTCTCTCTACATACCATTCACTAAACTTCATATCTGCACACAACATACTCTTCTAACAACAGACCAAAATCTTGGTCCAAATCAAGGTCCGTTATAACGAGCTTAAACTGTAGTTAGAGGTGGCAAAACTGCAACATTTGAAAAACATACTTTTTGCCAAGAAATGGCCATTTTAGGGCCGCTTGAACTGTAAAGACGCTGCTTATCAATAAAAATGTTTTAGCAACCGAACCTGTTTCCATCTGCAGAATTGTACTAGACGGGCTGAACCAACTGCTGCTGATATCCACCTTAGCTTCCAGAGGATGTGGTTGCAGAGGCCCGCACTGCCAAGGATAAAGTCGACCGTTTTTGTCCTCCCCGTTGTTTCGCTCAAACGTAATCTTTATTGTAATTGGAAAAGTGATGTGATCGCCGCGCTCCCACATAACAAGTACCCCCGTTTGTAAAGCCGTCTTGGCTGGCCTACACAAACACCGTTCACTGCATAGAACACGAAACATCATGCACGAACGTCATCCACCCGTGAGGTGCCCACAACCGAGCCCTCTCTCCCTCCCCTAGGTGCTGCTGCTTCTTCAAGAAGAAAAAGAAGCTGGGGCGGCAGAAGTGACTGGCCCTGGCCACGGCCGCCTCGGGGACCCCAGACCAGGAGGCGGTGCTGCTGTGGGCCTCTCCGTCGGACTCCAAGGAGAGCGTCGGGGGAGGCCACACCCGTCCGGGGCCCCCCTCCCTGCCCTCGCCTGCCACCACCCCGGCAACCCTCAACGTGCTGGTCGTCATGGACGGGAGCAACAACACCCTCGCCACCTCCTCCGTCTTCTAATTTATTGGCGCCGGACGGCGACGCGACGACCTGCGGAGCGATACGGGGATGTTTGCCGCGGACGGCGCCGGCGTCACGCCGGCCGAGCACCTTTTTTGACGCCGATCGTGATTAGTCGAGCGCTCTTTCCGCACTTCGGTTGCGTTGTCTCAAAGAGCTCTTGGTGCTTCGTCGACGCGGCGTGAGCGACGTCCTTCGCCGAACGGGCGCGCCCCCCTCCGACGACGCCGTAGGCCTCGGCGTGCGCACGCGAGTTGCAGACGACGGGGCGAAGCACGCGCGTTCGGCGACGAGCTGTTTGCGACGGTCGATTAGACGTCCCTGGCAGGGCGTCTGGCATTAAGGGTTCCACACTGTGATTAGGAGGTTTGGCGTCGTCTGCCGGCGTTCGTACGTCGAGGCTTGGGAACACGCAAGGTCGGCTCGCTCGAGAGGCCGAAGGGCAGGCTCTATACCCCTGTCTCGGAGAAGAGCCGGACTCAGATTGGTGGAGGGGGGGGTGCAGGCCAACAACGGGGTTGGGGACGGTTGGCGAGGGGAACGTGTCGATTGCCTCCGCGTGCCGTTGTGCTTTACGTGCGGTGTGGCCGACATTGTCGTTGAGGCAAACTCCGTCTCTCTCGCCCCTGCGGATGAACTCTACTTCTGTGGCGGGCGTGCACCACGGCCGGACTCATTTCCCGTGGTCCCCCGACGGCAGACCGGTAACCCCTCTTTCGAGTCCGAAGCCTGGCGGTCCCCGCCCTCCCTTTTGTCGGAGTGGGTTTGCTGGATTGTTTTTCGGGTGAAAAAGAAACTTACGCTCGCTGGCGAGTTAGGTTTTTACTTCGTTCTTTTTTTCTTTTATTGAAATTTTTTTTTCTTTCTTTTTCTTTTTTTTATACGTTTGGAAGCGATTTGTGCTGCCCGAGGTGGCACTGCTAGGAGGTAGAGAGGGAGTCTCGAGGGGGCCGGATTGCACGGCACGCCTTCGTTGGCTGGAGAGGTCACGGAGACGACGGAGCCTACAGCTCGGCAAGAATCTGACTTACCGGGAGAATTGAGGAGGGCCTACGAAACCATAATCATGTACAAATTGTAAAGAATAGTTTTGTTTTTTTCTTTGCTTGTGTTTTTCTTTTTTCTTCGGGAGAAGGTGTGCAAAGGAAGCTACGTGCAAAAAGAAAAAGAGAAGCTTGCCTATCCGAGTTTTGCGTTACAAGGAGAAGTCGCGCTCCTTAGCTTGGGGTCGAACTTTTGGTGGGGGTTGTGATCCCCTTGCGCCTCCCCCCCCCCCCCCCCCCCTTCATCGCTGCCCCACGTCACACATACCCTCCCCCGCCCCATCCCCGCCCCCACCTCCAGCGGCCGTACGTGACGCCCCCGGTAGCGAGGTTGGCTTTACCTGCCACCACTGACGAGCGTGCCAGTTTGTCTGTTTGTTGTATCATACATTTATCTGTACCTTGTACATAAGAAACATAATAGGTGAAGCAAACACAAGGACATCTCCCCCACCTCCGCTTTTTTCTTCTTTTCTGTCACGTCCGCGTTTGGTCGAATTTTTTTTTTTTCCTCCTCCTTTCCGCTTGGGGGTTGATGGATCTTTTTTTCTTGTTTGTCGATATTGCCAGGAGCCAACAGCTTTTTTGAAAGATTGTTGTGAGAAAGTTGGAGAAGGGGGTGTGTTGAAAGGAGTTTGGTCGCCACCGCCGCAAAGCGACGGCGCGGCGGCATCAGCCGAGCGCGCGGCGGCGCTGCCTGGTCGGAATCGTGTTGTCCTCCGCGGTACTTAGTCATTTTTTGCGGGAGGGGTTGTTTGCGCGCCGCGGAAGAGAAAAAACATAAAAAAATAAATACACCCCCGATTTCCGGAAGCCGTGTTACCTGTGTCTCACAATGGAATGAATGGCTTGATCTCATGCACTGCTTTTTTTGTTTATTCGTTTAATTTTTTTCCCTCGTTTATTCTGTCGCGTCAACGTCTACGTGTCTGTCGCAGGAAAAAGAAGAAAAAAAAACACTTGCCCGCACAATCTATTCAAAAGGGTGGATCTTTTCTTTTGTTTGCAGTTTTCTGCCCTCTGTTTTGTTTTCTTTTCCTAATGTTTTTTTTAGTTGTTAAAGGCCGCTGTTTTTCGACTGCTCGTCGCTTGGAACAACGCAATACCGGTGTATTTAATACTGTCTTTGTGCCAGCGGGGTCGACTTTCCTTTGGTCGCGTGCTCCATGGCGCGCAAAAACCTGCTTTTTTTTTTTTTTTTTTTCCTTTGTAGGGGGCAGGTTTATTTAGGCTTTTTTTTTACTTCGTCTTAGTAGGAGCTTGTACGGTTGCCTTGACGGAGGGATGCGGCTTAGATGCCCCTAGGCGTTCCCCCGCTCGAAGGCGACAGCGGTAGAGAGAGAATGGTCGTGCACGGACAAAAAGACGCACGTGCGCAGTTCATTAAACGTGCCCCGTTAGGTTTTTAGAAGCCGCCGAACACAGTCCCAAAGTGGCGTTAACTAGCGCGCATCGTGGCGGCGACACGCGTCTGCAAGATGTGCTTAGCACCGCAGTTCCGCATTCTGAGAAACTAAAGTGCCTGCCTCTCTGTCTCTCTCTTAAATGGAAAAAAAAAAAAAAAAAAAGTTGCCGCAGTTTGCTGCAGTGTGAATAATAGGAACACTTCCGAACCGGCTCTAGCTGACGCCGACGGCACATCCGAAGAGCGCGCACATTTTGGTGACAAACGTTCTCTTCTGCCCCCGCCGTCTTTGATGACGATGATGATGATGATGATGCCACCGGTGTGCCGTAGTCTCGTCGTCTTTTTAGTCTGTGTGGCAAGCCAAAGATGCAAGGTGGGAAATTAAGGAGTGCTTGAAAGCCGATCAAAACCGTTGCTGATGATGATATTTTTTTCCTTCCGTTGGAGTGGGCGTTTGGTCGGTAGCACATTACTACATCGCATTACACGTGTTCATGACAGTTGTGATATAATCGGTTAGGGGGAAAGCCTTCTGAAAAAGCAGCAGGATTTCCCTGCTTTCTCGTCCTCTATTTTTTCTTCCCCATCTATGTATATTATGCTGAGCTAGACCTGTTTTTTTTTATTGCATTTTTAATTTTTTTTAAGTAGGGACACTTCATCGACACTAGTTTTTGGATGGACCGTGCACGAGTCTGTCCAGATCATTTCTGCTTTTGTGTGAATGAAAATAAAAAGAAAAGATGCCCGAGTCGAGCTGTCTTTGGTTTGCTTTGGGACGTGAGCACACTTTGAATATTAAGTGAAATTTTGGTCTGTTTTCTGAAACACTGACAGAAGTGTTCTCAGCGAGGACTGCTTCGGGCAGTCCTCGCTGAGAACTGAAAGATTCTTATGCTCTTTCTGAAAGATGCCATGAGGCATCTTTCAAAAAGAGCATAAGTTTGAAATAAACCTGTTCATTATATGCGTATGGTGTTAATCTTCCATAAAACTGTGTGCATTGCATTCTGGGAATCTGTGGGCCAGTAGTGGAGCACTTGGGCATTTTGCTGCCCACCGATTCCCACAACGCAAAATGTAGCATTATGCTGCGATGAGGCACTTTGAGTTTAGGAATAAGTCTATTACAGATTTGCTGGATATCTTTGAAGTCAATGCTTTACTGGTTCTGTGTTCCGGATTAACAAATCTGTGATGCTATGACTTCGGTACCCTTTGGGCTGCTGGCAAGATTCGGCCATTAAAATGTGTCCGAAGTTGCAAATTCCTGCTGGTAAAATTTCAATATATGACGTGCACATTCCAGATGCATACTATGAAGGTGATAAGGACCCCCCAAAACACACTCGACTAGTTTGCAGCAATGCAGGCAACCTCTTCCGTTATATGCTACAGATTCTTATCGTAAATATACTCCTTCCTTCTCAGTGCTGTGGCACCTGTGTTACTCGCTCGTTATTTGTCGCAACTTATCAAACAAGCGTTGAACTGGTTTAACGGTTCATTGAAAAGCCCCGAGGCGATCAGGCAAACATACTTCCTAGTTATTTGGAAAATTGTAGCAATCCGATCAAACGTCGCCTAAATGCAATGCCGGCATAAGACAACTAAATATGCAGGACAGCTTCCCCAAAATGTTTAGTTACTCTGGGTGCTTATTTTCGACGGGATGACCCGTGGGATGAAGAAAATGCAGGCACAGTACCCGACACACATCAAGGTTGAGAATGCAACCAGACTAAATTAGGGGTGCCCGACCTAATGCAACTGATCGGGACACGACCGATTGTTATTTGGGTTAATCATATTGACGCTTCCTGGAAATTTTCTTATTCGAGGAGTGGAGATATTGGTCGTTATATTATGCAGCCGGTTATTAATGAAAGTGGAGTAAGCGTCTATTCAGTGTTCGTTGTAGCACATTGGCGTTGCTCTCTGTTTACGCCTTTCCTTGGCGCTAGGAAATCGAGGGACTTTCGTTCAAAAAAAAAAAAGCTGTTTGCAACCCCCTGTAACGCCGAATTGGAGCACAGCTCTTGAGGAGGAGGAGGGAAGAATACTGAGGGGAGGGTAGACCCTCCTCCTCCCCTCATTCTTTAATATGCTTCGGGGGGGGAGGGGATCACGTGACCTTGAGGTGACCTTGGAAGGGGTCACGTGACCTCTGGGGTGACCTTGGTGACGGCGACGCCGCTCAAGCCGGAAACGGGCGCCTAAGAGCTGCGCTCTAAAACAGGCTATGAAGGACACTCCCAGCGAAGCGCCTCGGTTGAATTTTAAGCCTACAGGTTACCTCGGGGCAACCCACGGTGTTGTCTCAGGGCAACCTACGGTGTTGTGCACGGGGGAGGCTCTGCGCAGAAGTCTAAAGGAAAAGGTGTGAGGTACGAGGCCACCCCAAAGCGATCATTCGGCGCTTTACAAGCGCGTTGTTTGTGGCACGATCGGCCAATGGTAAGATTCCGAGCACAATTTCAACTCCACACATTGACATCTTGTGTTATTTATATTTGTTGCCTGGAACCTAGGGGACAATGTTGCGGAGTGGACACTCCTATTCCATTCCGGGGAATTAAACAATTCCAATTCTTTCAACCCTTTGGAATGGAGGCACTGGGCGCATTCCCACTTGTCGAAGGCCTGCGCTTCATCCCATTCCTCCAATTCCTAAACGTGAAAAAAATTGGCCATGATAGCCACATTTATGTTAGAAGTATGTATGATGTAAGTAATGGAAGAACTGTGGCCACGTTTTGTATGCAAGAGGAGGATAATAAACAATGTAGGTACAGCAACTTTGCCTGTGCATGTATGTATACCTGTATGCATGTGGTATCGGTGTGTGTATATATATGTATGGGGGAGGGGGTGCTGTATATCCTTTTATGAATGTAGGGTGCCCCAAGTCACCAGGCTCGATCTTGAATGGACCATAAAAATCGACGCTTGCACATAGCAATCTAAACTTTTCGTCAAAGATATCTTTCACAGGCCGGTTTTCCCTTGTAAAATTACAAAGCGTAGCTCCCTTTCTTTAAAAAATGGGACCAGGAAACTTCCCAGGGTCAGTGGCGATGCAGACCAGTAAGTCGAGTTGCGCGGCGCGTTTATCGCTCGTATTGATAGGTGGCGTCGGGGAGCAGCGTCGGAAGGTAGGGAGGCTCTAGGTTGGGCTCTAGTGAAGGTGGGCGCAATTGCTTGAAATTGCGCCAGTCGCAACTGTTGCAACTCTGTTGCTTCATGCACTTTTCCTCCTCTCGCCTCCCATTGCAAGCAACGAACACCAGAGCTTTCTCGCTCAGGGTTGCCAGACAAGCACCAGCATCCAAGATGGCGGAATTTACCATTTGCTTTTGCAGAAAACGTGCCTGCATACTTAATCTTTTTCAAATGCACAGGTGCGTCGTGGTGTTTGACGATTGTCATTTGGTGTGGGACGTCATTACGTCATGGTGTTAACGATTAGCCGCCCGGGCTGCACGAGCGCTGGCATAAAGACAGTGCGCGCATCAACGGGCTTGGTTTCATCTGAACACGAGGGCTCAAAGAAGTAAATGGCGTGTGCGTAATCTTAAAGGGGCCCTGCAATCATATTTAAGCGTCTAACTTTTTTGCGGTTCCCACATCCCTCGGGGTTCGGGCAAGCCAGTGGGCACGGACAGAGAAACTCAATATCGGTGCATCATATTTTAACCGGACAACGCGGAAACCTCCTTCACCGACGAGGGCAACCCGCGGTATCGACAGCTCGCAAAATGTGACGTTTTTGGTCCTGGGCTTACTACTGGTCAGAGCCGCTAAAAGCTCCTTTTTAGTCGAAATACAAAATTTAAGAGGCTCGAACCATTTCAGTTATGTATGAAAGTAGTTTTTGTTCAGTATTTTAGATCAGAAAAGAAACGAATGCAGTTTATAAAGTATGAAAATAAGAAATGACCCGTCGACATACCCGCCACTAAGCGGTGGAAAATGCCGCGCACACTAGAAAGGAGGAGTGGTACCAGGCGCCGAACACGGAAAGATCCCGGATGTACGCGGCGGCGCTGCGGTCGTATGCACGGGAGGATCTGACCGGCTCCCAGTGTTCCGAAGTCCTTTGGCGAGAAGCTTTGTCTTGCGGTTCCGCCGTTTCGCGGTATGGCAGCGCGAAGTGGCTCCCATTCTGAACTGATCTTTACCCGTGTTTTTCTGTCGTCTGTGGCCAATGAAGTGTCACGCCGAATTAGTGTTTAATCGCGCAGCAAATGCAATGAGAGCCCCTCTGGCTGCCCGCTGCATACAGCAAATCCAAAATATGCTTTAGTGTCGCCCTCTCGCGCCGTCGACACGGAGTGCTGTAGCCGTGAGCGCTCGCTCAGCTCATTACTTCTCCTCAAGTTCACGGCCACTCAAGCAACCAAGGATGTCACGGGAGAATATTTTTTTTCTTGTTTTTGTCATGTTAATTTGCGTATAACTTTTAAGATAAAGCGAATTTCGAGAAAAGAAGAGTTTCTCTAAGTTACTACGTTCAGTGCGCTCAGATTCGGTGCAAACTAAAAACCAGTAAAAAAGTCCTTGCAGGGCCCCTTTAACTTATCGGAACAAAACTTGTGGTTATGGAACAGTAATCACTTATACCTTGCATAAATTATTCAAGCACATTAATGGGCTCTTATGACCCAAGTTAGGAAATAAAACGACCCTTTGCCACAGACTCCCAGCAAAATTTAGCAATTAAATGGCGTCTATATCCCGTGATCCCCGATCTAGCAGTTGCACCCACCCTCACCTGAGCCTCCCAAGGAGGATATAAAGAAATATTTATATCCTCCTTGGAGCCAACGTTCTAGTAACGTTGGGTGTAGCTAACGTTGGGTTTAGCTCTGCAACGAGGTAGAGGGCCCTGAAAGTGACCCCCAGTGGACGCCGCCATGTTGCACTTTTTTAACACTAGACGTGTGACTCACAAGTCCTCAGACTTTTATGCAAAACTAAGCAAAGATTTGTATTGCGATCGCTGTAAGAAACATGATAAACTATTTTTTTTTTTTTTTTTCAATGCTGTTAGCCCCAGACACTGATTTCAATGACAATTGCTGGATCGCCCTTCCCGCTGCCGCGAGTGAAGCCGTCGGACGGCCATCTTGCTCATAGACGATTTGCAGTTTTGCTAGCGTTACAGAGGCTGGCGGCAGCGTGCTGAAGACACTTTTCTACTCGTTCGTCGCCATTCGTCAGAGAAGATTTTTAAGACCCTCTGTAAGAGATGAGACTTGCCGTTGAGAACACGTGGAAATGTTTACGAAAGCGCAGTGCAGCAAGAAAAAGCCACAAAAGAAATGAATAGTGTGTACTAGTAATTTGATTGCCATAAGCGTCTAAAAAAAGAAAAAAAATGTGTCGTTAATGTGGTCCTCTCCCCCTCCCTTCCCTTTATGTAACATTCCAGTTACATTTTTTCCCGTCGCTTCAGAAGTCTGGGAAGTCTGTGCTGCTCTAACGAATTTCCAAAATCTACTTCTGAGGGAAGTCAAACAGTTTTATAGCCTGGAAGTAGCGTTTGTAATAGGGGTGTGCTAATAATGATTTTCCAAACCAAATCGAGCGTGAATCGAATAATTTTCAAATAGTTATTGAATAGTTGGGTGCAGTACAGGTTTATAAAGACTACAGATTAATATGGTTTTCTAGAAACCATTAAAAGAACAGAATGCTAAATAAAAATTACTAGAATTAAAAGGTGTGATTAGATGGAGGCAGAAACTA